GGCCTTGGTGGGCTTGATAGGTTGATATGTGGACCAGGGGATGGTGAGGTCATCTGAGGGGTTTAGATCAAGGATCTTCCTCCACCTTGTGATCAACTCCGGGGTGGGATCTGGTGCCGAGTTCGAAGCCGAACTTCACGTTGTAATCTGAGATTGATCTGTACTTGTGACCACTTTGCTCCCATCGCCACCAGACATTCTTGCACACTACGAGCGGCAGTGGCTCGCTAAAAAGGCTTCGCAGCAACAGCCCAGCCACCCTGCACAGACTTCGGCCCCCCCTCCAAATTGGCAGCTTCGCCCTCGCCGTTATGCCCAACTCTTCAAGGAGGGCAGGAGGGGTAGCATGCACAGATCCCGCACGGCCCCCCAGGGCACGGCATTGGACCAGTTCGGCACCCTGGACCACGCGCGCCATACTTTTGCATGTTTCCAGAGCCGCGGAATGAGTTCGTGCGTTGTGAGACAGGGCCAAGTTTGTCTTTTAGTACCAGGCGCAACCCTTGTCCGTAAGTAGGACACCTCTATTGTAGCAAAGGAGCCTCAACGTCCGGAAGGGATACAAGCAGGCAACGTTTTGGCTAGGATGCTTCCAGGACCATTGATTGATGCATTAATCAAACGGTCCTGGCTCCATGCCGCCTGCAGATCCAGTAGGCCCGGCGCTAATTAGCTGGGCCGGCCCTCGGATTCAGTATATAGTGTCGAGGTCACACTTCGGCTTGAGGCTGCACAAGCAACAGTAGAGGAACAGCTCTCGCTTTAACGCTAGAGATGTAGGACATGGCAGACTAGAGGAAAGGTGGTCTTCAACAAGTGTAGTGTTGGAGTACTTACTTGGGCACCATAGCTTGGGTCTTCAGCACCGGCCGTCACAGGCTTTCCACCTGTGACACAAGACAGCTCAAGACTCCATCTTCTCCTGGTCAGTATCTGGTTAAAAGAGAGAGAGAGAGAGAGAGAGAGAGAGAGAGAGAGAGAGAGAGAGAGAGAGAGAGAGAG